ATCAACATATTATTAACTGAGCGTTCGTGAAGATCAAACCCCATACCAAAAAAGTAGGACGTCTTTTGGATTAGATAAATATTACCTAATCACATATATAATATACAGTGTGTAAAAAAAAAACTGGAAAATTGTATGCATCACAAAAACATGTCTAGCATGCCCAATTTGGTACCCATTTGCAACACATTTGATAAAGTTAAATTACTTTTTTATTGCATACATATGTAACATTTTGAATAAAACATTGTGCAATGTCTGCTACCAAGAAAGAATTACAACACAAAACTTTATTATATTTGTGGAACGAGGGAGTGCGTAATTACATGCACATACAAACATCCCATTTTCAACGATATATGATAATATAAAAAAGCTAAAAAAACTGGAGGTTTCAGCAGGACAATGACTCCAAGCATATGAGTTGTCTTGCTAAAGCCTTTCTTGATGAGAATGCTCCATGGACTGGTCATCCAATAGTCTGATTTAAATTCTATTGGAAATTTGTGAGGGTAATGTGGAAAAACGGATGCCCAAAAATATCAATGAACTGGAGCAATTTATGGTGGAGGAGTGGAGAAGTATCCCGGATACTGTTATAAAAAATCTTGTGGGCTCAATGAGACATCACTGTAAGCTTATTATTGAAAATCACGGAGAGAGAATTGCTTATTAATTGTTATTAATAAATCTGTTGGTTTCCACCTTTCAAATAACTATAAACCATTTAATTTGGTCCATTCATTGAGACACAGTGAATAAAACTTTCATTCCGGTTTTTTTTTGACACACTGTAACTAACGCCAGTTGACCAGTGATGCAACGCATTAATAAACGAACTAGCTGCAATGATGTCATTTCTGTAAAACGAAGAAAAAAATTAGCAGTGCTCTTATCCAAATACATGGACCCAGGTATAATATTTAATTTACCTTCTTGACAATATAGTACCAATAATTTCAACGGAACCTTTCATTGCAGGTTTGGCTCAGTCTTTGAATTCATAAATATGTCTCAATTTGGGCTTGCCAAATTTAACAATATAACCAGATTTATCATGTATTAGTATATGAAATATGGCCGTCGAGTCGGGCGATTAATCCGACGGCGGCAGAAAAAAAGCTTACAAAAAACGCGAGCCACATCTTTGCGTCTTTAAAATCTCTCTCGTTGACTTGATACTTGAGGTCATAATCTTTAGTATCAATTTGTAATTGGAGAAATAGCGGTTGATGGGGAATCAGTATAACGCGCGTCATGCTTTTGCTGACCTCTAGGGTTTGCAGCTTGGTCTCTTCTATTTTTTAAGATGTTGAGACATTGGCCCTTTATGATTCTTTGTTTATTGACAATCTCGGCTTCGCACTTGATGTTTTTTTCTTCGATGAGTCGTGTTCACTTGTACGATCGCTGTTTGATGATTCTAATTAGGACGACATCAACAGGTTATATGAAAGTTAATTTTTTAAATATATACATCTTGTGTGGCTTACCAATGGAAGCGAGCTATAGAGCAAGTATCTAATCCTGATTTGTGATTGGAACGAGCTTTCTCGTCACCAGTTAAAATAAAACGGATAGTGCAGTCTGATGCTTTTAACATTGTTCAAATACTTGCATTTTAGGAAATAAGGTGTTTTGACACTTTTTGTGACATGAAAAAATCTTAAAATTTACGGCAAGAGTGCACGGACTCTGAACAAGTATCACGTGTGTTCCATAGAGACCACACTATTATTGTGATGGAAAAATCCATATTCTTACATGATCTTCTGCATTCTTACCAAAAATGTTTTGTGAAAGATTTATTGCGTCACCAGTGGCTTAAAATGAAGTCTCGGAGGGAAGATTCGGGAACTCTGACTGGTTTAAAATCCATAAACGAACGTTTACGCTTCATATAAATTAGATCTCTTAACTGTATGTGCCCAGGGAGTAATAAGACTTAAATTGCATCATTCTGTGGTATAGAACACAATAAAATCAAACAAATTCGTTTATTCCCACTTGTGTTAATTCCGTTTCATTTCACAAAACACTCGAAAGAAAAAAAAATTATTTCCCCCGTCTGACCCGAAATAAAACAACCAAAACACACCAAAGAATGGCCACAGAAGCAGAAGTAAATACCGACACTTCCGAGTCAGGTGACGTCGCTGGCCCGGCTGTTTCTGACCCAAGTCAGACCAAAGAGAACACGGAGAATACAGAAAAAGACTCGGAGAATCAAAACTCTTCCGAATCCAACACAACTGCCAACCAGCCAGAAACCAAGTCCGTTTCTTCCGGTTCAACTACCACAGGAGAGTCTCACCAACAAAACGATAATGCTGCCGCAAATTGGGAAGTTCGAATGTCTCGCTCGCGCAAGATAGCCTACTATTACAATCGGGTAACCAAAGAATCGACCTGGGAAATCCCCCAAGGCATTGACCCGACTAAGATCAAAGGGTATGGAGAGCAGAGGGACGGCAATCCCCAAGAAAGTGGGGCGGGACAAATACGTGCAAGTCATTTGTTGGTCAAGCACATTGAAAGCAGACGACCGAGTTCTTGGAAGGAGGTATGTTTATCGGAGTGGATTGGCGGTGTGGTTTCGATTTGATTTGCTAGGAGTTGAAGATAGTCGAAAACGCAGCGAAAACCAAGATCTTGTTAATGAATCTAGAACTTGGACATTGTATATTATAATGTCGGAGAAATAATAACCAGTGAATTAGTAAAAGGAGATATTGCAACTTTCAAATTTCTTCTCACATCACCACAGTTAAACAAATCCTGCTTTTCCCTCCATTATTCGTCTTCTCTCTTTCTCACACCTTTCTACTAACGAAAAGGTGAGAATAACCCGTACAAAGGAGCAGGCCTTGGCTCTAATTCTCGCCTACCGCGAGCGTATTGAGAAAGGCGAAACTACTCTCGCCGAATTGGCCATCACTGAATCAGACTGCTCCAGCTCCAAGCGCGGTGGCGATCTCGGCTTTTTCGGCCGTGGACAGATGCAGCCCAGTTTTGAGGAAGCGGCGTTCAAGTTAGAAGTCGATCAGCTTTCGGAGCCTGTTTGGAGTGACAGCGGGGTGCATTTGATTTTGAGAACACAATAAAGGAGAGGATTTTTTGGGGGGAGTAAAATCGACAGGATAGTAACGAAAAGAGATGGTTGAATGGGGTTGATTTAAAGGGGGGAGCGAGATGGTGGGGGTTGGAGAGTGAGTGGACGATCTATTATTATGGAATTACTTTGGTATGAAATAGTATTAGGATTGGAATACTAATCAGGTAAGATTGGAAGTATTCGGAATTGTATGGATGCGGATTCATCGAAAAGACTTGCACAATAAGAGAGAGCTGAAATGTTTGATGATTGTTACCATTATTATTATTTATTACTACTACTACCACTACTACCATTATTATTATTATTAGAGTTATATTAAGGGGTAATGAGAATTTAGGGTTTAACGAGTTATTCTGGGGATATTTATTTGCCAGACTTTATAGCTACTGAACTTTTTTTTTTTAAAAATTGTGTTGTTGATAGGTTGCTATCACTTTTGTATATTTGTCTCTCCCATTAATAATTTTTTTTTCATTCTTTCCCTGTTATTTCAGGTCTAATTCTCAAACTTGTTAGAACGATGCTTCAATTCATGGTCCCTCGTCAAGCTCTTTTTCTATATTTCTTCCTCAGTCCTTTTCAACTCCACTTTTCTTTTGTTTACGCGTACTTAGTAGCTACTCATCATTTTTCTCTTTCCTCCCCCTTCTTATTCTTCATATAGTTTTTCTTAAGTTCTTGTTTTGAATCTGGTCTAACAAATTCCAATAAATCGGGAGCAATCATCGGGATAGTTGAAGGATTAGTGATTTATTGCGTTTTTGGATTCTAGATTTACGTCTAAATATCGTAGTTAATATGTGAAATTGCAACAGAATTACTTTTAATGTCTACTTTATTACATAATACAATAGAAAATTCCTATAACTTGTCTTCAATCACATCTGCACGATCATCCATCTGTTACAATTGCCTAGCATACACTAGGAATTCGGCGATGTTGGTGGTACGTAAGACCGTGTTTATGAAAAACATGACTACTTTTTGGTTCGAATCTGTTATTGTTTGTCAAATGACTTGAATTTGTTTCATCGTTCGTCCAGACAGCGCCTACCAATTAGGTTTATCACTCATTATTACATATCATTACCTTGTTGCTAGTCAAGAGGATGAGACACAGTACGAGTAAAATGTCATCAACATATAGAAATTGGCTTAACGTATTCATCTTTACGAGCGTGTTTAGTTGACTTAAGACTGTTGATTGACTATGTCAAGATCGACTGCTATAAACTATGCAAGGATAACTTACCACATTTCCCCCCTCATTACATGCATTGCCGTGGTCACACATGCATCCAAGCACATGTGGGCGAGATCGTGTGGAGTAAAGGACGAATTATATGAGAGAAATATGACGTTTGTGAATGATTACACGTGGAGGATGTTGCAGGATGAAAGCGTGCGAGAATGTGGGGTGGTAACAATGAAGAGGATGGGACGATTCGTATCATATTCGGCTGCAGCTAGCGTTTTGCTATTGTCATATTGATTACCGTTGCTATTATTTGCTCTATTTGTACGAGTCCCATTTGCATAGCCATTTTGGATGCTATGTGCTTTGGAAATCGTGGATTATAGAGAAGGGTGAGATACATGCTTAGATGGATAGACAGGGGATAAGGAAAGGGGGAAAGTTTTTTGTATATCTATCAAACAGAAAATGATAATAGTCATTAAAAATAGTTTCTTTACATGACGTTATAATGTACAAATATCTAATCCAAAAGACGTCCTACTTTTTTGGTATGGGGTTTGATCTTCACGAACGCTCAGTTAATAATATGTTGATTTTTTTTGTTTTTTTTTTTTTTTTTTTGTTTTTTTGCCAACGCTAAATACACGTTCTTAATTGAATCAACTCCCATGGCAAAAACCCACCATTACATTTTTATCCCAAACCCGATCCCTCTCTCTCCCGCCCCAACCGCGTCGGCCGTCTCAAGTACCCTCCCTTGTCGGCATAACCAACTTTTGCGGTATCATGTACGGCGCATTCCCAATTTCCGAGGTCGTATGAGACATTCCAGATGGATCAAAGTTAAAGTAAGGAATGTATTGGGCCTGGACGTCTACACCACGCAAGTGAACTGGCTGGGGATCGGTATGAATTTGTTGGGTTTCGTACAAATTGGAGGAAGATGGAAGAGATAATGCGTTGGCAGAGGAAAAACGGTCTGGAATAATAGGGTTTGAGAAAGGGAAAAGACACAGACAACACATTGTTAATAACGCAACCTTTATGTTAGTATTATTTCCCATAATAAAACTGATTAACCATAAATACAATCAATGGCAGGCATAGACAATCCGTTCTGTGTCGTACGTAGGTTCCGTGCATTTTCCAATTATTGCCTGCATGGCCGGGAATCCGCGTTTGTGTGGATATGGAAACAAACATACAGTAGTTCCCACGCACAAAAAATGTTATGACTTTCTGTATTTTTTTCTTTTCCCCGTCCACTCTTCCCACTTCCCACACCGGTTTAAATTATCATATTGACTAATAAAAGCCGCGGTGACCGTCCCAAACCTCTCTCTTCTTCTATTATTCTTATTGGTGTTATTTATTGTTACAATTATTATTACTCACCAGATCTCAAATAGTGTAGTAATCCAATAACAATTTCATCCTGTGCCGCCAAAATTCTCTTTAACCTCTCCATTTCATTTACAACGTTGAAGTAGTTGTTCCTCAAATTTTCAATGTCATCTATCGTCTCGTTTTGCATTGTGACTATCGATCGAAGTTGGTTTTGTACATCTCGAGATGATGATGAACGATGAGAATGAGAAGAAGAGGAAGAGGGTGAGGCGGAGGATTGACGTGGGTTTGCTGGTGTCTTGCGCTTTTATTTGTATGTTTTGATGATTGGTTAGCCATGCCATCCAATTAAATAAACAACTTCGTTTATCATCAGTTAGGTTTATATTTACCTTTATCTCTTCGAGCAAGTCTCTTCTGTTGAACTGAAATTTTGGATGTTGAAATTCCCAGGCCTATTGATGGCCAAGAGATTTTTATTAGTAACAAATCGTGCATGTATTTTTTGTAATGGTATTATTAGTACTTTTTAAACGAACGACTAGTTTGCACTCTCTTCCTTTCGTCATTATGCTCTACTCAGGTCTAGATGCAAGGATCTAACTTGCACCGAGGCTCACGTCCAGCCAACGCACAAGTGTTTAGTTATATTGGGATCTTGAAAACGAGAGCAGAAAGAAGAAATGATATGCAGAATCCGGTAAATGTTTTGAAACGAATAAAGATGGTTTTCCGATTCGTTAAGAGAACGGGTTGGGGAGAGTGGAAAAAGAAATAAATAAAGAACCTTTGGTAGAACATGTCCTTAATACATGTTTCATCGATATGCAAGAATTATTTACGAGTACGAATGAAAAAGTAACGAAATCAGGTATATGAGAGTGAATATACCGGGATTTGATATTTACAATAATATGTAATTTTCTAATTCAAGCATCCTCGAATCAATCGACCGACTTTTCCCCCCTCCCACCAACTTTCCCCGTTCGGTCTGAGATACCAAAAGAGTTCAAATGTATTCACGGGAGGAGGAAGGAGCGGGGGAAGGGCCTATTAATATACTATTCTCACTTTGCTCTCGTATCAAAATCTGCCGATATCCACGATACGTTTATCCGCCGGTTCATCTACTATTACCGATTTCTCACATAACGCAGGACTCACCTGCTCTCCGTAGCTCCGTCCCTCCTCGTTGGTCTTGATCTTGTGGAAATCATATTTGTTCAATTGCCGCACAAATGACGCAAAATTGCTATGTTTGAAATGCCGGGGGAGGATGGTCCGCGCGAATTCTGTTGGATTGTGTACAACAAAGGTTTCGCCTGATAAGCCCCAGGATACAACATGGCAGTGAGATTTGTCTTCAAGCATTCTGGGGATGGAGGGAGGTGAGGGAGGGGTTATTCGTGTGGGAATGGGGATATAGGAAGAGAAAGAAGAGTACGTTGGGGATTTTAATGGACATGTGAATATGTGAGTGTGTAATCAGATAATTGTACATTCAAATGTATGCGTACATTGCATACGAGTGCATGTGTATGTGCGTATATGATTATAAGAAAGACAGCGATTGCGATCTCATTTGCTCATTTCTTGATTTATTTATTATGAATTTACTTCTATCATTGACAGCGTCGTAGAGCTGTTCATTTTTAAGTCTTTCTGTTAAAAAAAACTGCTTCACTCCATCAACTCTGACGCGTCTAGTAGAGATGTTATATACCTGTACAGTTTCTTTACAAAGTCTGGAATATTTGCGGATGCGCCCATCATCTTGAGAGCGGGGGAGGTATTCGGAGAACGGTTGGTATGGTATAATATGGCGGGGTGTTTTAGTCAAGTTATTTCCGACGTATTAATTACTATATGACAGAGTGTCGTGTATACTAGTACTGTATTTCTTTCCCAGAGTTTTGTCCTTGGGTATTTCTTACGTAGGTTTTCTTTTTTCTTTTTAGCGCTTGTTGTGTATATATAAGTATATATGTTCAGAATATTTCTGTATTTGCCTTAGACTCTCTTTACATGGATTTACCTGCGGCTGATGTATGAAAATATTTACAGTAGTGATAAGTCAGATATAGCAGAGATGAGATGTATTTATATTTTTTTATTTAATATTGAGTTTTATAATTGGCATGTAAATGCAATAACAATAAAATGTCAAATATAAATAATAGATTAATTATGTATACATATAATATGTATTATATAAAATGTATGTATATAATATTTGCGTTATTTGCTCTATGAAATGAAACTAATATGTCTATTTTTGTTATGAGATTGTAATTAATATGTTAATATACGAAATCCTCTCAATCGAAGGTGATGTGTGAGAGTATTGTTTTGAATAGCGCACAGTAATTGGTAATATATTTAGTTGCAAAATATGCAGTATATCATATATAACGAATATTGTTTCGGTAAGGACTGGAACGTAAACTAGGCATCTGACGTGCGTGATCGAAACACCGAATAAGAAACCGAATAACGAACCGTTAAATGTAGAGTTATTTATTATGTTACTGTATTTCTGGAAAAAGACGGGAAAGAAGCAATAGAAAATTGGAGTAGTTTTTACATGAATATACATATATACATACATTGCCAATAGCGAACAGACAATAAAACTAAACAGAACACAAGCGTCAATATGAGTAGATAATAAGGATTATTATTACTATTATTATTATGATTATGATTATTATTATTATTATTATTATTATGATTATTATTATTATTATTATGATTATTATTATTATTATTATTATTATGATTATTATTATTATTATTATTATTATTATTATTATTATGATTATTATTATTCCGATTATTACTGTTATCATTATCATCATCGTTACTTAATATAATAACTATTATTTATATGGTGAAGGTTAACTCTGGGACCCCTGTAAATCAATTTCTAACCAAATTTAGATGTAGCAAGTAGAAATTGTTATAACTAGCACCACTGTAGCAGATAAAATACAAACTAAATTTCTTTTAATACGGACATACTATAAATTAAACTCTATTTTTTATTATCATTGCCATCATCGCAACGGTTCTCATTAACTTTATTATTTATATCTCTCTACAGCTATATTTTTTTTATGCATGCATACACGATGCGTGGGTACAAAGTATGCGTCGCTGCTCCCACATGGAATAATAATAGGCAATGTTAATAATAGTGAGAAAAGAACAGAGAATTGTGAATGGATAGAAATTGCATGGATGTTTATCGGATGATACGTTCTTTATCGTATACCGCACATTAGTATGACACCATCCCGTTATATTTGCTTGCCCATTATTCACATTTTACCGTTCATGCAGGATATTTTCTCACAACATCACAACATCACAACATTACAACATTAGCGATACACGCTCAAACCTAATACCATAACTCTGGGTGAAGTGAGAAAAAAGCTCATGTATATAACAAGAAGTCGAAATAAATTTTCAGTTAGCATGAAAAAACGTATTGTCATTAGTTCATTAACTAAAGACCAATAATTGTTAGTCTTCAATCATGTACAGTCTCGGATATATCTCAATTATTGAACGTTTATTGTTCATACTCATTGAGTATCCAATCGGCTGTCCATCAATTGTCGGAGTAAGTGATTCCTTGCCCCGTCGATGCTTTTTAGACCGTAATGTGACAGAGTATTTCCAATATTCCAGTAATACAGGATGCGCGTTGTCAGTTAGTTGGTCGTTCATCTGCAAATCAAGTATATCAGTGTCACAAGTGCAAGTATTGGATTAGCTATCCTCAATAAGACATTGCAACGTGCCCATACAACAAATGAGGTGCGAGCGAGCAATGAAAGTGTGCCCAAATTCAGAAAGAAAACCTACAACTCTGCTAGCGATGATAAATGGATGAGTATATAAAATGTTATTTACAATACCACTCGCCGTGTCCATTGTATTTCATACATCATCCCACCCCCAGCACATGGCACTATTGATAAAAACGCATCTAAAAAACAGCAAGCAAATATAAACAAGAAATCGAATTTATACAACAAAAAACAACGTGAAAATATATCATATATGTTTTGGTCGTATGCTAATTAATAAAATTTTAGATCAAGTGCATATTTTCGTATAACAAGAGTAAGCTCTTGTGACATTGATACGATGAGTACTTTCGTCCCATGTATTACAACTTTTACATAACGTAATTTTGCATATTTCTTTTGTTCTATTAACTCAAGCAAGAAGGAGTGCCCCATCGTATCAATCACATGTTTTCTTATTCGAGAAGAAGAGATAGAGGGTGGGGGAGTGAAAGATGGAGGGAGAGAAGGTGGAAATAAAGGAGGGAACACAGAGACGGAAAAGTTCTTTTCCATTAAACCAGATATATGCTGAGTGATTCGTTAGTGCCAGGTTATATGAATCACATAAAGGGACAAGACTATTGAGGTTAAAAACCATCGTTATATTAATTTTGTAGATTTCATCCGTCATTCTATTTTTGCATTCTATTGTCTGTTGCCAATCCAACGCCTCCCCTTGTTTATCGCTAAGTTTCATTTCCGAAAACAAAAAAATAGGCGGTTATGAGGAACAGGGACTAATGCCCAAAAATTCAAACTAATAGAAGATCTGATGAAGCAAACAAGGGGAGAGAATATATTGGACAATGGTTAATTAGACCAAATGAATATATGTTAACTAATTAAAGTTAAATCTTAATATAAATATAGTCTTCGTTGTCCAACATTTCATTGAATATGGTGTTACTTGATCTAATATGGCATATGAATGGATTGCATTTGAATGAGAAATGTGGAGAATGAATGAACAGAGCGAGCAAACAAGGTATACAGTTATCGTACGGGTACCGGAACCGCAAAAGAGAATCGTAAAACGTTATCGAATAGAGGAGAAATAGATAAAGAATAAAATGAGAGTCGATCAGTAGGTAATTCCAAAGACTGCACACGTGAACGATTGACGATTTTACGTCCACGTGCACACATCTTTACGAATAAGAGTATTCGGGGATCTTTTTATCGGTTCACATTGCGTTAGTATATTTAAAGTATCTGACATAATTTAATGAATACGAATATAATTGGGGGTTAATGGAGCCAGAGGGACAAGATTATGCACGACGTCAGTCCCAAGACATGTAACGTAGGTAACGTGGCAACTACGTCCCTATCGAACCATCGTTGTCGTTGGGAGTGATTGGTTGACTATTGTATTACGATCTTTGATCTGCGTAATTTAAATGAATAAATAATTAACCCGTTTTCGCCTATACTAATTTTCGATGAACTTGTTAGCCTTAGTAAATGATCGATGTTAATATATATAGCCGTTCGGTATGTAAATAGTCCTTGTTCATAGTTACACTGGATGAATTAACAATTGAAATTGGTTCTCTAACTATTATTAGAAAATCAGTGAGGCGACAGTGATTATTACTCCCTGTCACATTGGACATAAATAGATTCGATTGTCTTTCGTTTAAGTGGTCTACTTGATCAATACACCAACTACCATAGACTGTCCTTCTAATTGTCGAGAGGGAGAACACACATAACTGGCGGGATTATTCTCGATCGATAGGTTTAAACTACTTTGGTATTTTCTCTGCAAGGTATTAAGCAGATCACATCAATCACGCTAAACCATATCCACACCGATGAACGCAACACAAAACCAGTACAACATGTCATCACATAATAACTAAAAGTTGTTTATGTTCATATATATTCGGTCTAATACTACAGATTATCTACAAAGCGTACAATATTTTGTTATTTCAATTACGGATTTACAAATAGGCTCATAATACTAATAATAGTGCTGTTGAATAGCAAACATTCAATGATTGAATTATCCAAAATGGCAATTGTCGTACTTATCCAATCCCAAATCGCATATAAACCAAGGATTTAAATCGCAAAGCCTACTGTAAGATAATAAAAAAGAAGACAGAATCATTCGGCGCACAGAATTAGCCGAACAAGCTTATCGAGATAGATATGGTCAAGCTGAATTAGATGCTTTGACTGGTTCTTCCTAGAATACATAAAATTTGCCTTGTTGTGACTACATATCGTGGCGTAATTAATAAAAACGCAAACAACAATATCGTACTACACTGCGACATATACTTGTATATATTTATATTTACAATAACTTTATACAATTCAATTTCAATAGCCAACAATTGAAAGTAACTCACAACATCCCAACCCCAACTCCCCACAGTTTGAAAAAAAAAAAGTTGGAATGTACGTGTTATACAGTACAATGTTTTGTATGGACGGTACCTTCTACAAAAAGCCCTGCGAGCTGAATACGTTTTAGTATCTCAGATACATAACCTCACAAATGAAGTTGGAAAACGTCTCTTGTCGTTGATAGAAAGTTATATTGTAAAGATGTACAGAAAGCTTATAAATGCATAACCCTTTGTGATTTTTGAAAGGAGGAATTTACAACATAACGTCATAGCCATGGATATCAAACACCAGTCTCATTTCTACAACACGTTCAGACATGTTGATATTTATTAAAATAAACTTCAATAAGCGTTTTACCGTGTTGGATAACTTTCAACAGGAAATTGACTTAAAATTAATCATATAGCGTAAAGACCGGTATATAGCAAGCAAAGTTTTTGAAAACGAGCAAACAATTAATTCAGAGGCATTTTTGAAAAGTATATAACACTCGATTTCGGTTTTTGCGGCAAGTAAAAGCTTTTTTTTTATTTGTTCAAACACTCGATGCAAACTTTAAGACACAAGGGTTTTCCGTAATGCTCGTTTATGCTTTCTCGTAATTATATCAGTAAATTTTTAGTCTTCTCATACTACAAAATATGCGCGATAAAACCAACATTTGATGATCTGGAACGCCTGGCAATCCAAATTTGAAGACATACTTTGCGATGTAAGCCTGAAGAGCTATGCTTATAAGATTTGGATTATTTGAGATGTTAATTTTGGTAAACATTAACAATCACCAGTAAGAACTTGTTCATGTGTATAGCACGTTCAATGCACAAAACGAGTGCTCACCCAGCGACAGGACACCAAATTCTACGACCTTCACTGCATAGCATCAACATTATTTCGAGAAAGGTAAATTTGCTTTGTCTCTAGGACAAAGGTTTTCATCCGATTTGGTCATTTTATGCACCACGCTAATCGGGTTTTGGGGGGGCAATAGAATTAATCAAAAAGGTTTCGCCCTAAATTTGATAAGGACGTTTGAGTAATTAGTCTGAATTTCGCTTATTTAATATCCTGATTCCTTTTCCTTTAATCGAAAAATAAACCTTTACACGAGGAAATTATTTTCGTTTTTTACTTGCCCCATGCTAAATTCTCTTTATTATCTACAGTAATTTTCCAATATCTCTTTTCGTTGCATAGGCTAATGGTTCGCACATTCGATATTGCGGACCAAAAGCGGTTCGTTTAACGTGTCGGTTTGACAAAATCTTGACCGGGCTGGCTATTTTACAATTGTATGTACAATTCCGTCGTTTGCTAATTTAATTTCTCTATTCATTACCGTCATTCTTTAAATCTGACAATACTTGAAGGCTAAATCTAATCTAGTCAGCTCTCTTATTATCGCAGGAAATAGTATCAATACATATCCGAATTTTGCCTATACCGAAATATGGATCTGTTGCCTCTCTGTTACTCTTGTCAATTTAGTTGAAATGCTGTTAATAAAATCCGACCATGTCCTTTACGCGCCTTTTGCAACCGATAATGGTGTGTACGCAAGTAACATCTAATACCTTGAACTCAGGATAGACAATTTTATAAGGTTTGGTATTATTTGTTGTGTCTTTCCTGTAAAAGCTGTCAATCAATCGTAATAAGCCATATTTTAATAGAGTAATGTAATTTTGTTCGTCCTCTTTATTATTTGCTATTACTATCAGATGCTAACAAAGAAAATTGATCTAACGGAGCAATAATCGCTAATGCATAAAAGAATTTGAAAAGAGGAAGAAAAATTAAATAATTCTTTGAAGAACAACAAAAGAAAAAGAATAACACGTTCAACATTTTTTTGTCGAGTCTCAAATAATATTGTCTCATCAGACGTCATGTGCTTAATTGCAAATCTATGAGTATAAGTCAACACCTTTTCTTTATTATTTCGATTAATAATTTTTTGATTGATAAAATTTTGTCAAAAACTTTCTTATAATGTAATTAAGATTTGAGCTATTGCTATCATTTAGTCCATAATTCTCCTACAAAGCCAGATTTTTTAAGACGGTAAGTCGTAAGAGCATAATTATTTTTTTGCATCATCACTTTTTACAGGAAAACAACTCATGGAAAACAAATGTTCGATTCTGTTAGCGATGTTGGTTCGAACACAATGATCACTCCGACCAGTTGAAGACGGACGACAATAGTATGCAATATGGAGAAGAATTATTTTCTGTACTTTTTCCCCTAATGGATTGTTTTAATTTCGCTTTATTGGGAAAGCGTGTAACAGCAAAAAGTACTGCATACAATACGCTATCATTTACTGGCATGATATCTTATTAATTTGTCTGTTCTCAATCTGCTAGGGATGCGTAAACAATGTCATGAATATTTACCTACTTTACTACGACAGATTTATTCAATGGTCTTTAATCGGGTTTCTAAAGTGGATAATATAAATAAAAAAGTGCTGAATAACTGGAAAGTTAGTGCTTTTATTTATATTACTTTCAAATCTTTGGGCTCTTGGTAGAACTCCAGTTTGTGCTGCTGCACGCTAGTAAGCCGAAGAGTCGAACGTGTTAAACCGAAGCATCCGCAGCAGTTTGTCAATGGATACCATTGATAGGCCAAGAAGACCTCAAACTAAAAAAATTCTTCAGAGGTACATCAATTTTGGGAGAGCATGGTGAAAGGCTTATGAGACATTCAGATTTAAGCTTTTCAACGAGACGTTGTATGCTATTATTTATACCAAGATAAAGTCTTATCTACACGTACTTCTTGACAGTCTCTCAGTTAATAAATAAAAAAATAGAATAAATTCGTATTGTAAATAAGCCTTATTGCGTATTTTCCAGATCCGGTATAAACAAATTTGTTGTATTAAATTTTGCGATCAATGATAGAGTTTACTGTTAGTTCAAGCCATGCTATGCTGCAATTATTTTTGCAACTATTCCTTAATTTTGTTGTAGAACATGTTATGTAATAGTGACTACACTATAAAGAAACGAAATGCTTATTCTTGCGAGATTAATATCATGTTGTTATACTCTCTGTAATGCGTATGTAACTACGTATACGTATATGTCGAAAGACTTGCCGTAAGAAAACAGCACGCATTGCACTTTGTAAACAATAATACACTAAGCTTTCTGATTTCTTTTCAACTTTCGTCATAGCAATACGGTCGAACAAAGCTGAAATAACTTACCTCTTGTTATTTGCTTTTGAAGCAATGTTGTGATATCTGGTCGCGTCGAGGGTGTCGATTGTAAATTGCTAAATTTCGAAATTTAGTCTTCGTGGTAAATCGACTCGACAATGTAAAAGTGTATAGAACACATTATACAAGTAGAAACCTGGTAATCAATGTGTGTTTATTCGCGATTACGATAATAAATTTCAATTACGCGTGTTAAAAGATATATTAATATGTGCGAAATGTTATACTTAGGATCTACTTTACCGTCAATTAACCAGAAAGCTGTTATTATAGTCCAAACAAATGTCAATCGCGTATTTTGAATCTATGAAAAATGCAACATGGTATTGCGCACCTTTGTCAAGTCATTGGATTCGAGAGATACGTGCATACAAAAACTCTTTATAATTTTCTATGGAAATCCAACTCGTAGTATACAATCAAGTTTGTTTTTCTTTCGCCTCTATCAACTGATACTGAGAACCCAGCGTTGACCAAACCGGTCTCGGGTTTATGCGGTTGACAACAGACTTTATTAATTAAAATTCTCTAGATAATTGACTAAACAGCAAACAATGCAGTGTAGTCGGTTTAAATTAATAGTTTTTGGTAATATTTTGTGGCTTTGTTGAATAGGATAATATACTTTTCAATCAAGCGTCTCCTTCTCCCGCGCACACGAATTTATCCCAAGGATTGATATGCAAGCTATCGACGAATTTAACAATAGATATTGTAAACAATACGTAAATACAAGATTATTACGAATGATTGTTCGTTTGAATTCTGTCACATTTACAATCTGTGATTGTTTATTTCGACTCGAGCATTTTTCATTATTATTTCCGTCATTTACATAAAACTAATAAACCGCACAGCAGTTTACCAGCAACCGTCTAAGAAAAAATAATTGCAAGAGTAAATTGTACAATAACAAGTATACAGCAATCAAACAGTAAATCCACCCCAAGAATATATCATTAAACAAAATAACACCAACTAATAATAATTAATAAATTAATTGATTATTTAAATAACGTTATTTCAGACGACGCATGCGTCAATAAATGGTTGTTTGACATAATAATTCGAATATGTCCAAGCCCTTGCCCTAATCAAAAATGCCCCGTTGTCGATCCTAATCACCGCTTCCTCAAAATACAATGGTTTCCCTCTGGTTGTCACGCCAAAATATGCAGACAAATCGTTGTAATCACAGTATTCGCGACCGTCAATGACGATACACGCATCTTTGAGAAATGGAAGTTTTAATGAAGGTGAGAAGGTAAGTGATGAGTCCGAAGAACGAAATTGAGCTGTCAATTTGCGGAAAGTCGTTTCATCAGACAAATCTTTGAAGGTAAAAGATTCAAACTTTATCCCTTTACTCTGGTTAACGGTAACCGTGGCCAGGGCGTCGCGAGCGTGAATTTCGAGATGATAAGTGTTTGGCGGGCGTAGAGCTAACGAAGATATCGCATTTGTAGTAATTGTAGGAGTAGTATTATTATTCGTAATATTAGTAGTAGTAGTAGTAATTCTATTTGTGGTAATTGTAGTTGCAGTTGTTGGAGTACCAGCAGGAGTAGTTTCTGTGTTTGTCGTGACGTCTGTCCCATTAGTTTCATCCTCATCCTCGCTCGCATGTCCGCTATCCGTTCCGCTCTCTTTGACTTCAATTACTGGGCTAACGTTATATATTAGATTTTCTTGATCCCACCGATCAATCTCGATATTTTTTAAATTGATTGCCACTATTGGCTCGGTCTCTGGAGCGTAAGTCCTGATTTGCCATGGAATCACTTTTTGTGGCCATCGTTCTTCATACGCCTGTTCCAACAGTCTTAGCAATCGTTCAAAACCATAGTATTTTACATCGTCTATCAGATTATTCATTGCTATTTGATCGTCCAAAGGCCAATCGACGTCATAACGTCGAAGGTATTGTACAATCATTGCAAAGTTATCAGGATCACGCTCGATGAAAATAGATGTCGTCTCTGATTCAGAAAAGTATCCGAAAAACGCGGCAGTAAAGAAATTCGGAGCATCTCGACGGAGTGAATCGGGTGAAATACAAAAGGAAGATTCGCCTATTTTAATATCGTAGTATTGTGGCTGGTCGGCAAGTTTACAAAGATGAGGAAGAGTACGAGGAGGATAATTGCGGGAACGAGATTTTTTTGATTTTTTTGAATTTGGATTTTGATTGTGACGATATGGCATCCCGTTTGATGAAGATATATTGTTGGTGTACCTAATTGGTATACGAGTGTTTCTTGGAGAGATTTTTGTCGTTATGATTTATCTATCGTAAAAGTGTCATTTGTGTTTAGTGATTGCCCTTATTATATACTGGTCTTCTGATGAAGAATGTCCGCTTCCATAATTCGTAAATAAAAATTGCTAAGTATTATGACACTATTGCGTCAAGGTTTACTGACAATCATAAGACAATAATGCATGCGTCGATCAAGGCTAAATCGAGACTTCCGAACATCCAAGTATAAACTTTCGTGGAGTAAATGACCAAAAAAGTGTTCCTTATTAGCAATTCGTCGGTCAAGTGTTCACATGTGCTGGGCATCGTTACGGCTTGGCTTGTTTACAGCTGATATGAATGACATGGCTATAGCGATTATGCTCCCTTGCGGAAATTTATGTCGCGACATTATTCTGGTCAGTTTATGTTTCAGAAAACAATGCAAGCCGAAACATTTTTTTATTAATTGTGACTTACAAATTTCCAAACAAAGAGTTAATGTTGTACTTCAGTTGGGGGGAGAACCAGGCTCTTAATTGAGACAGGTCCCAAGCTCAGGCACAACTATACTCTATAAAGCACACCCAGTCCAAAAGTAATATTTTACCCGACGCTAACAACTTGAAAAAATCTTCTTAGCAAGTTAAATGAGACTTTTCCAACAATAGAGAAATTATATTCGGAATTGAACAAGTACCGAAAATTAGAACAAGTCCATTTTACATTGTCATTGTTACCACGAAAATTTGTCCTAATTTAAATAGTCATTCTGAGTAACGAAGAATCGAAGTTAAAATAATTCTGGAATATACAAACCATTTAAATATTTATATATTTATTTTTACTTCTACCAATTAGATTGTTTAAAAAATAGTATGACATAATGAAGAAAAAATATGTGGTTCTTAAGCCCAGTGTCATGCAAAAAATTGTGTTGAAGTTGCTACTCTTTGTTCTTATTGGATGCAATTATTAAATGCAGGGGATACTGGTGCGACTGGGGGAATTTCCTTTTTACGCTTTTCCTATAAAATGACAAAATTAAAGTACGAAATTACCGACAGCCTTCCTTCAAGCCCTCGGCTTCAGTTGACTTGCTGACAGCTTATAGCACGTTTTGACCGATAACACACGGGAATAACTATCCATAGTCAGAACAGACACCACTCGATTGTAGTGATCAGGATCTGTCTATGCGTCTTGCTGAACACAATGTATCGAAATGAGGCAGTCTGCTCTCGTTTCCAAACTTGTTACCTGTCTATATGAGGAAAGACATGATGCTTACCATGATAGCAAAACAAGATCCCCACGGAATATCTCTTAATTCGGATTAGATAGACCAAAATGTGACATTAGCACGAGAGGCCTAAAGCTTAATGTTTGGAAAATAACATGAAAATTCTTTGCGCACATATGGTTATATTACAGTCATCAGAGGTTCGTACTTTTTCACATATAGAATTGGTTATATGTTAACATCCCGATTCTCTCCGCATTATTCAAACTTGTGGGGCAGATTAGTCACCCGATTATAATTATGCAAACAGAATCATAGGGTAACTTAATGTAAATCACGCTTGTGTGTTAATTATATAATATCAGATCCTTCGGCTATTACTAGTAGCAAGATTGATAGCCTATTTCAAGCTCAGAAAATACCCCTTCCTAATGTGAAAGCTCAATAAGGAATTTCGTGCGATAACCTTATGTTGTTCGGCTCAACCATTATCGGACATCGATGACATTCTTATTTCCCCGCCTACCAATTTGTAACTATGTTTAGACCGGCGATGTATATGCCAGGATTTTCCTATACCGGGATTTCTATACCGACCAGATTGACTCTCGCACGCACATCGTTGTCTCATGAAATTCTTCATCTATACTGGACTTTTGTATAAAAAATTTTACCGGCTCCGGTATGAACAGAATTGACTGTACGTATGAAAATTATTTGCTAGAAGGAAGTTAATTTCGCTAGTGATGAAAGCCGATAACTCTATCACTTTTCATTTTTGAGTGAACAAAAAAAGTGTAGGATCTATCCTAAACACTTAATGAAAGAGCACTCCATTCTCATTAAGTGAACATGAATTAAATATCTAAAACATCCATCACTAGATAATATCGGGTATTGAAACGACTAACTCACATAGGTTCTAATATTCTTACTGCAAAACACGTTCCGTTAAGTCTATCGATGAGATAAATAGCGAAACAGACTTGCATAAAATTTTTGAATGCGAACCAAGACATGTTTAGCGCTGTTAATATTCGCGAAACTGAAAGAAAATTTCTTATTGTTGATGCAGCGATGGCTTTTTGTTTATCGAGCAACTTATGAATTTCAAACGCCATTTGATTAATATTAAATGAAAATTTCGGTTCTTTTATCATATAATTTTCTCAAATCGTTCCACAACGTTTCGATATCTGGCGAATAAATTTTGTTCGCCGATTGTTTCGTTTTTGACAACTTTCTGGACTTCATAGTCTTTGTTAACATTCCCATGTTTTGGAGTTGGCTATTATAAATTATGCCATTTAGCAACAGGCCAAGAACGAAGCCAATAAATACTCCAAAAAAGAATTCGCTTGTGAATGTAAGCATTTTTCGTAGTGTTGTTGATGGAAATTGACAGGTTGCTTTAAACGATGTATTGCTTTAACGATATTTATTGCGTTATGGTTGATTTCTGAAGTCAACCAGTGCTATTTTTATAATAAAATATCCGTTTGTTCATCATACGCTGCGGACGATTATTAGACAAACGCGAATTTCTGCGCATTGATTATCATTGGTCACCTTTTCTGCATATAGTAATAGGGGAACAATAGTTACAATTGTGAAAAGGCCTAGAAAGTTCCTAGTAATACGTCATTGCTTAAGCCACTGATCGGCATTGGTAAACCAAACAAACGCGCTACAGTCGTACCCCCCATCACACAGTCGGGAACAATGCAACTTTTATTAAAAATGTGCTTATAAAGAGGTTGTGACTGTATAGAGGGTTTTTCCTATAAGTTCCATAGTAATTGGTTCTCAAACATGGTGTGCTAATAAAGAGGTTTTTATATGATGTGCTTATAGAGAGGGTGACTATAAAGGTATCTTGTCTCAATATGTCATTTTACTCAGAAATTTCGCGTCTTGATCTCGCAAAAGACGAAAAGGCGGCCTTGCGCGCGTACTTTACTAAGAACCCTACCCAGGAGGAGAAAGCGTCTAATATTCTACCGATCTGTGAGGACGACGACGCGAGGGTTCAGTATCTGCGGAACCTGCTGGAACCGTATTGTGTACTTAGTGGAGCGTGTATCAACTTCGCCAATCATATGGTATTATTATTGGTTTCGCTTTTCGTCATTCTTAACCACTTGTTGCTACCATTCGTGTGCTCGTTTAGTTGCAGAAAGCCGACCCCGCTCACCGATTACTGAACTAGAGAGCTCGTCTAAGCGTGCAAGGAGTAAGTTTTAAAGAACGCTAAAGCAGAAATTGAAACTTGTGTCTCACTCAATAAACCCGTCATTGCTTCTAGCCCACCAAATTAGAGAAGAAAATCTTGAAGTTCTCGATGGCATTGCGCCTAGCAATTACGCCGCTTCTAAATATGCTGAACACATCCCTGGCATACCTATTTACCATCACAGACCCATAAGCCTTACTAATATCCCAGTCAGGTTTTATTGCGAAATTTTCGAGAAATTTCAAACCCTATTTGGTGGTGATGTTGATATGCCTCCAGATGTCAAAGAAACATATACGCAGCTCGTGTGGGAACTAGCTGCTCAACTATCAGATCTCGAGTCTGTGGAAGAGAAGCGTGAAGTTATTTTCAGAAAACTTCTGGACTACCTTTTGGGTAAACTCACTCCGGCATTGGCGACAGAAAATTTCGTTAATCAACATTTTAGGACGGATGGCACAGTTTTCAAGATCGTTTCCGCCACGCGGTTTCTAATCCTCAACCTGGAGGTGAAGACAGACTGGGGGAGTCAGCACAATTCTTATCTTGTATTATGTTAAGATTCTATCAGCGCGTATGAAGGAATATGAAGATTATGCTAAAAATACTTGCATGCCATCATTCCTCCTCACTTTAGATGGTACCCCCCCCTTTTTTTTTGTTGTTGTTTCTTGTGACAGTTTTGATGTTCATGCATATTTAAAATATTTAGGTACACACCTCATGATCTGCAGTGCGGTCATGGCTGATTTCGCCTGCGTGGACAAACTCACTTCATCAATTCCACTCGATATTAATATGATGCTCTATGACAACGGCTTTGCTGAGATGGCAGCTCGCGCCTTGTGTCCTGTGTGGATGATCTCCAAAAGCACTACCAAGATCTCATAAACGGTCTGACAATTCCCAGAAAATTCACCAATGGACCTTACCTGCGGTTTCCAGAAAACATCACATATTTGCAGAGAATAGGAAAAAAAAATCTCTGGCTCGCTGAGGGTAATCAATCTTGATATGTTGTTAAATTTACACAATGGTACGGCAAAGTTGCCCATGAGACATGCTCAGAACTTGGGTTCGCTCCTGTACTAAGGTACTTTGAGGAACTTTATGGGGGCTGTAGGCTGGAAATTGGTCATCATGGATTATTTGGAAGGGTATTCTCACCTTAAAAACCTCTCAGGTGCTGATTGTGCTAACAAAAAGCAAAGCGTTTTGAATGCAATTAGTGCATGTCAAATAAAGGCTTTGTTCATGGAGATCTTCATAGTGGGAATATTCTTTTTGGATCAACTGGTGATGTGAAGTTTGTCAATTTTGATTGGGCTGGAAAGGACAGTGAAGCTTGATACCAGAAAGCCTGAATCCCCAGATCAACTGGCACAAGGAAGTTGGGCTCCACAAGCCCATACATGTCACAAAACCCATGGATTATTCATGATTCATCGAGCCAGAACTACTTTAAAGACCCAATAGCCAAAATTGACTTTGCCATCCTCAATGGAGCTACCCCATCATGGCCACAGCTTGTTATTATTATGGCAATCGAATTAAAACTCAACATAGGTGACAAGAGAGATGCTTCTGGCAAAAATCTCCCTGACAAACACCATAGTGCAATAGGACAACTCGCAGATAGGTTTTCACACATTTTCAATCAGCAAGAAGATAGGAAGGAAGTTTTTGGGGCCATTGCGAGTGACTCGCAGATTGAATTGTTGTATAGGGTATAGGGACAAGAATTATAATTACAAATGATCAGGCTTGCTTTCTCTCAATTTTACTCAGAAGGATTCGATCAGCTTGCAAATGCTGGTAAAGTTGGTAACTGCACCACAAGAAATATTGGGTTACATCCCACCTACTGCAGAACAGCATATTATTGAATCATCTATTCCGAATTTTACATTTACATCAATCATTCGGAGGAGGTCCAGTAATCGAGGAAGTTTCATTGCTCTTGGCATTAATGACAATGGTGAAATGGCTATAGTCAAATCTTCTACTAATACTAATGACAGAGAATATTATATTATTCAAGAGCTTGCTTCTTTTAAGATTGAGTTTATCCCTAAAGTCTACTTTCATGGAACGTTTAAAATGGTCAAATTATTCTAGGTTGGATGATACTACATTTGTTTTAATTAACAGTTGATTGATACTGCTTATATAGGTTATGTTGATCAAACCATATGGTGAACACCTCGAAATATCAAAACATGGTTTGTGAGTTGTTCTTAGTGCCATATGAGATGTTGCTGAGGCCATGAAATTAGCCAGTCAACACAACATTTTGCACTGCGACATCAACCCCTCCAATATAATCCTCTATAATGGTCATGGATATCTCATCAATTGGGGTATTGCATTACATTTGAATTCTGGAGAGTTGGAAGAATTATCAGCAATATTATTATACTGCTCTATATTAATATCCATATTGTATTTTGTTTTCTCTGAATATCATTAGTATTCTATTCTTCAGAATTTAACTCAAAAACATTGTCTTTTTAGATCATGAAGTAGAAGTCTCTGATTGCTCAAAAGTCCTTTTCATATACTCTCGATGATGACCTCGAGTCTCTTTTCTATACTTAATACTGTTGTGGACATTCTTTGTGGCAGTATTATGACTTGGAACAAAGGTATACATGCAGAAGACATTATGGCCCATAAACTCATGATGATATATTACCAATTTGAAAAGCGGCTAAACTGTGCCGCTTTGGAGCACCGTGTTATATTGAAGGAATTCCATAGCCTCTTTTTTGATCACTTGGATAGAAAGCAAATAAGTATTGATCATTTTATTGAATTTCTGTCTGCTAAAATTAAGGAATTGGAGGACTTGGTATTGGAAGTTGTCTGATTAAAATTGGTGCCACATTGCTAAATAAGCATAACATCCTCAGATGTCCTGCATCTTAACAACAGTGCTACAGCACTGATTTGAGCATTAAAAATAATTGAATCTTATTAAAAAAGATTTATTATACTGTATGGTTTATGAACCATCTTGTGAGTTTTTGTAACAGCCGCCCAGCCAAATGCTGCAGTTTATACATGACCAACTCATATAGGAATAGCCCTGAATGCTTTCTTTCTTTGTTGCGATTCAGACAGGATTATCCTAAAAGATCACAACCCTCTTATTTCTCTATTTTCTTTTCACTTGGACTAAGGTCTGTCCATTACAGTTGGATTTAATATAAATGGTGTTCTTGCCTTTTCACATCCTGCCATTGACATAAGTTATAGTCCTAGCTATATGTTGCATTGAAACATAATACCTTTAAAAATGAGGATGACTTTACTGATTGGCTAGGACCTTGGCTTCAATCATCCCTTTGTGCCACTGTCACAAGTAAAGTGCTTGTGTAACTAGAAAAAATGGCTATATGAATGGGTTGAAGCCTGATATCTCAGTCCTTCCTCCATCTTTGGCTCACACAAGTGCATTGTTCTCTTTTGCTTGGAAGTGAAGATGGACAACCCTCAGTCTCCTGATTCAATGATGCAACTTCTGGATTACCTTAGCATCACACTTGATGCACAATGACACCACAGAGACATTGTGGGAGCCCTCATCACACCCAAAGATCTTATTCTTGTGCATATGTCAGCAGAGAAAGCCACACCAATTCATGTTTGTACATGAGCTTATACCCACTCACTGGAATCACACAAGCTTGCCTGCACCCATTGTTGCACTCCAACAATTATTTTTGTGGGCTGCATCCTTTCCTACTGATATCCCTGACTATGACTTGGCCACTATTTGTCAAGAATTGCAAGTGGATAACCTGGAACATCTCGGATATGGTGCCACAAGTAATGTCTATAATATATAAAGGAACTGGATCACTTAAGAATTCTGTTGTCAAAGTATTTAAGTCTTCAGTCCTGTCTGATGCCATTGCTCAAGAAATCAATCTTCTCAAGTGGTTGAAGGAATGTAATGCCCCACACACTATAAGAATTAAAGAAAATGGCAATCAATGGGTCACATTAGTGCCCATATGCAATATTTGTTGTCTCTCAAGTCCAAGCTCATTTCAAAAGTGCCATTGGATTCAAGGTATTGAAGCTCTAAAATGGCTACATGATAAAGGATATGTCCATTGGGATATCAGGCCAGAAAATATAATGCAAGCTGGAGGTAACTTGGTTCTGTCAGATTTTGGCTCCTGTGTTCAAATTGGTAAGGATATTGAGTAAAAATCCCACATGGCATCTTTTTGAATGTAAAATTCTAACTTTTAGTATCTTGCAGGATCCACCATATTTGAAGGCACTACACGTTTTGCTAGTGATAGCATCATTACACAATTGCAAGCTTCTCTAATAGTGGATTTTCAACCATCAGATGATCTCCACCCATTACTACGTGTTGCACAATGGTGTGATATGAATCCTAGTTACTGGTCTAACTTACATGCTTGTGATACTAATACTAACACAGAGCTAAACAAGATACAAAGGTTCTGGCAGATTCAAACTAGTAACCTTGTAAAGTTCACTGATGCCATTCCAGTGCATGATGACCTTGCAAATGTCTTTAATTCAAACTGGTACTGAATCTTGGTTAATATTTCTATTACTATTACTATGCTGTTTTAAAATGACTTTTTACATCAAGTATGTTTTAAATTTCACAATCTTGAGAATGTCTCTTTGAGAACGAAATTTGCTGAATTGCAATTGCTAATAAAAATGAAACCAAGGATCATTGCTGTTTATTATACATATGAAATCTTTTCAGTTGCATTGGAGGATATATAGAAATATATGACTTTGCTTTCAAGAGAGGATGTATGCAGATCCCAGGCCAGGTATATAATAATAATAACAGCCAAAGCATAAATTATATATATAGGATTACCCGTATATGGAAATTATAATTACAACGGTTCAACCGAATATGAAAAAGCAATGCGTTTCTTGGAGATAGGTTGCAATTGTGGTTGTTCAAAAAAGATTGCGAGAAAAGTTTGCTAAATTACGTGAGGCATTTCAAGCTCTCTCTAAATCCGAACAAGATATATTTTTAATGGCCCAACTAAAAGCAATGAATGGTGGAGAAATAACTTCCAGCCGACGCCTTAAAAAAAAAACGCGTACTAATAAAAGAACTTTTTATTATTGAGATCGCAATACGCCACTTTGTCAGAAAACATATCTAAATATGTTAGGAATTGGTCGCACTCACTTCGAAAACGTTAGAAATCATCTAGCAACGAACGGTATAATACCGCGTGTTCATGGTAATATCAAACGAATGCCACGATGGAAAACAAAAATAACCATTAATATAACTGTTGCTACTGCCGTGAAGAATTTTCTCGAAAACTATGCCGAAATTCATGGATTACCAAGTCCGGGTAGAAATGTCAATCGCATTACTCAATCGCTTACACTATTGCCAGCCGAAACGAGTTACAAATCAGTCTATCATGATTTCATTGCAGGTCTCGAAAACGATAGCACATTGAAATTGTTAAAATATGATGCGTTCCGCAAGTTATGGCACCAATTAACACCTTATATTCAAATCATGAGTCCAAGAACGGATTTATGTGACACATGCCAACATTTCGGAACGGCTTACAATACAATGATCGCAAGGAAGAAGAAGCGAAAGATTTATTGAAAAAATTCAAAGAACATCTAGTTAAAGCTAAGTTAGAGAGAAATATTACAACAAAAATACGAAATTAGCAGAACAACAGAGAAAATTAGTGGACGAGAATTATCTTGTAACAGGAGGTAAAGCTGATTATTGTCGTGTTGACGCTACTGCTCATTACAGTTACGATTGGGCACAAAATGTTCACGTGCCCCATTCCGATCAACAAGTAAGTAAGATCTATTATCTCAGTCCACGTAAAGTGGTATTCAAAATGAAGCGGTACGCGAACAAATTAATTACGTTCTTGATGAGAACGAAATAATAGGCAAAGGTCCTAATGGGACGCTAAGCATGGTATTCGATGGAATTAAACGATTGAATAAAGGTGAAAAAAAAATTAAAAATTACTTGTGACAATG